ATGGTATAGCTGCCAGGTAACTTTTTCTCCCAGGCAAGTCGGCGAACCCGAACGGGGGCTTCGGAGGGGGCAGGGGGTGCGTCTTTCGTTTCAGGCTCGTTGTAGGGCAAGGGAGTTGATTCATCATACAAACAAGTGAAACGATTTATGGACGCGCACACCAGTCACTCGTCGCGGGGGACAAAATCCTCTGCCGGAGCCTCCGAATGCGCCTCCGCTAAGGCCGCGGTATCGGACAACCGCGCAAGCAGCTCTCCCAGCATCTCGTCGCCAAGTTGCTGGATTACCTCGTCAAGGATGTCCGGTTGGGGTCGCCACATCTGAAGCAGCCGAGCCAAGTGGTTGGGGTCGCCACATCTGAAGCAGGCTCGACGAGGGGCGCCCCGAGCCCTAGTACGATCCAACTCCATAGGGACGGGAGCCGGAGGTACCGAGACGGGGCCGCGGGCCGCGGGTGGCGCGGGTGCGGCCACCGGGCGGATGGGGAACGGAGTTGCCGAACGGGCGATAGGGAATGCGCCACGCGGAGCCCCCGAAGACGTCCGCAGGGTGGTCCCTTTGATGAGCTTCGCCCGTACCAAGGCTTCGTATTGGCGGAAAGCCCGAGTGCGCCAGCCCAGATAGTCACGGAGGTCTGGGGGGTCGTTCGAGGACGTGATGCCATTGTTGATCAGGGGGTCAAGTCCATGGCGGTACTTGGTCACCTTAACCAACGTGTCTTCGAATCCGGCAAGGTCCATTAGGTCCTCGAAGTCATCGGTGTATCCGTAGACGTCCCGCGTTCCCATGTGATAACCCGCCGCTTTCCAACTTGGCGAGCGCGAGGTCTTGCTCATTCTCCTCAACAAACCGAAGGCAAAACTCGGAGAGGAATAGGTTCCACCGAGGGAAGGGGAACGGGGTTTTACTTCCATGACGCTCTGCCCACTGCTGGGCAGGTCCCTCCGCCATATAGGACATGGCCTAGCGGACGGCCTTTTCTTCGCTCGGCTCTCCGTTGACCACGAAGGCCTCCGGGGCAAGCCGGGCGTAAGTCTTGACCGCGTATAGGAAGGTGCGGCCACGTTTGCGATCTCCGTTAAACGCAAACGGGGGGTTTGGCCGTAAGACCAGTTTTGAGGCGACAGTAATATCACCAAATAACGCATCCGCGTCGGGGGCATTCGGAGATGCCGAAGGCGGTTCGGGAGCTGCCGAAGGTGGTGCGGCAGCAGAAGCCTGGGAAGCAAGGTGGGTGAGGATATTGGTGAGGTTGTCTAGTTTCGCCTCAAGTGCGTCCATGCGCGCGTCAGTGTCCGGAGCAGCTCCGGTAGACATAGCGGGCGTAAAGACGACAAGAGCAGAGGAGGAGGGGTCAAGTGGCAGGGGCGGTGACGAGGGGGGTACGGACTTGTACTCCGAGCCTGAATCAGCGCCAAACCTGGCAATCTTGACCGGTTAATCCCGTAGAGAGTTTCTTCTGCTGTAAGGGCAACCCTGGAGACTCCGACGAAAGCCTAGCAGGGGAGGATCCAAAGTGTGAATAGAAGCTACGGGAAATACACGGAGGGACCGACCTAGCAGGGGAGGATCCAAAGAGAAGAAACTCTAAGGGTCCGCCTGCTAGGGCGCCAACTATATACTGGTCGTCCGTAACTGCCGACGTAGAGCGCAGAAGGCCTGAGCGGCGTCGCGGGCTCTGTCCCAAGGTGATCGTTGGGAGGGTCTTGACGGATCGGTGATTGTGCGGGCAAAGGAGGCCGTGGACGATGGTCGGGGTGGGTCGGAGCGTCCGAGGGGGCGCCGGTCGGATGCACCTCGGATGCGTTCGGAGGGTCCGAAGGAGGCCGAAGCGGGGGTTCCCCTGACACTTACCATGATTGTAGATCAAATTGATGGATATGATTGAATATTATCTTATATAGTTATCTAAAACCATCTTTCAGAAATTCCTGGTTTCTGCCTGTCAAAAAGTTGCATAATACTTGTTGAAAGTTGCATTATAAGAGATTGTCAGTTGCTAAAAGTAAGTTACAAATTGCAGATACTGAGTTGCAAGTTGCACATGCATGTGTAAAGTTACAAGTTGCATGTTAAAAGTTGCAACAAGTAGTTCTAAGTTGGAGCATCTTCCTATGAACTTGCTGATGAGAGGAATAGTTGTCAGCCATGAAGTTGTGCATAAAAAGTTGCAAGTTGCACCTGTAAAAATAAGTTGTATCATTGAATTTAGGGTAAAATCAAAGTTGTACCTAAATTTTGACTGTTTTTGGGAAGAGTTGTTGTAAAACTTTTGATACAATATACTGCCCATAATACAACAAGAAATATGGTACAACTTCATATTGACTACAACTCCATGTTTGTCAAATGCAACTTTACCATTCACATGTACAACTTGTCTAAGTACAACTTTCCAACATGAGACAACTTTTTTGAGGGCATTTACAACTTTAGGGGATGCAACTTTCTTGGAAGCATGTATAACTTTCAGAATCACAACTTGTCCAGAAACAACTTTTCATTTAGCCAAAGACAACTACAACTTCTAATAAGACATCTTTGGCCCTAATTCAGGTACAACTTTTTCCTGGGTGGGGCAACTTGAGTCTGGCTGTGACAAGTCCAACTTGGGCAAAGACAACCTGACATTGCATACAACTTTCCAAAATACAACTTTTTCTCAGTACAACTTTTTTGGGGTACAACTAGCCAGTTAGACAACTTTTTCTAGTACACCTTTAATTCTGTATACAGCTTATTTGGATGCAACTTGGACCTTTTTGGCAAGCCATCACTGACATCATCAGATATCATCAGTGGATCAGAGAAACAGATTAAATATGCTTTACTCTACCTATGTTGGCTAGCAAGTTTACATTGTGATGTAGTATGTAAGGGCAACCTCGCGAGGCTCGAAATCAGAGTCCTGAGCAGAGGGGGAATCCTTAGTGAACTACTACAACAGGAAGGGACGCTACAGACTCACCTGAGCAGAGGGGGAATCCTTAGAGAACAAGCCAAGGAGCCCTCTGCTCAGGTGCACTACTATATACTAGTGACCGGAGTAATGATAGAGTGACTGCATAGCGACGAACGACGCATGGGAGAAGTCAGGTGTCGCTAATGGACCCTAGGTGAGTGTCGAGTAGCCCTCGAAGCTCCGGAGAGGCAGGTTTGGGACCGTGATGCCAAGGGAGGAGCCCAGGCATCCTTAGAAGGCCTAAGAAGGGCTTCGGGAGGTCCAGGCTGCCTCTGAGCGTCTCCGCTTGTGACCGTGACCGTGACAACCCGAATCGGAACCGGAATCGGAATCGACTCCGGGTGTGTGACCGTGACGTGACGGCCGGAAACGGAGAGGGAAGGCGTGGAGCGGAAAGGGAAGGAGTCTGGTCCAGCCCCAAGGGCTGGGGAGTGTCGGAGAGGACCAATGGGAATGGCGGCCAGCCATGACCACTGGAGGGTAGCGACAGGAGGGTCACTCGGAGACGTCCCCGGACGTCTCCAGAGAGGTGGGTGTGAGGGCGTGCAGCCTGGGGCGCTGCGGTAGGCACGAGCCTTAACGGCAGTAGGCCTCACCCAAAGGGAGACCCGATGACGGGGGCCGTGGTGGCGGAGTGGGAAGCGGAGCCATGGCGAGGCTCAGCCATCCGAACGTAAGCCCGAACGCTGACATAGGTTGGAGACACCTAAGAGGTCCAGCAGGTAGAGATCGTAGGGAGACCTTGATAAGTGACAGCCCAGAGAGGCTGGCAGGCCATAGGCTCAAGGTCTAGAGGGAAGTGGTGCATCCACATCCGGAGAGGTCTCCGATGGCATTAGTGATCCCTGATGGTGACTCCGGAGAGGCTCCCGGAAAGGGGTGGCCAGGGAAGTCGAAGACTAGGGATTACTGGATGTGGGATGTGGTGCGGGCAGTGGAGGGAGAGCGTCAGGGTGTGGAGACACGGAAACACGAGCGGAGACGTGGAGACGCGAGCGGAGACGCGGCGCTTGATGGGATCAAGTGACGGCATCAGGGTTTCCCCTGACATAGTACTACAATACAACCATGCCAAATGATTTCTGCATAGATTATGTATTTTTTCAAAAATTGATTGCTGTCGATGGCCGCTGATGGCAAGTGATGGAGGAACGGAAGTTGTACATTGCCTGAAAAAAGTTGTATCTAGGCCCACAAAAGTTGTACCAGAGGCCTTGACAACATGTATCTTGGAAAGTTGTGATTTACAAAGTTGTTGCATTCTAAGTTGAAGTAGCTCTTGAAAAAGTTGTACCTCAGAAAGAAAGTTGTACTTGAAAAAGTTGTACTCAAAATGAAAAACCAAGTTGTATCCAAGAAAGTTGAAGATGTTGCTGGAAAAGTTGTCTGTTGATTATAAGTTGTAAATAGTCAGAAAAGTTGGACTTGCTAAAGTTGAACATGTCTCCAGAAAAGTTGTCATCAAGTATAAACATGTCTCCAGCCAGAGTAAAACATGTCACTAGAAAAGTTGTCTTTGGGGTTGACTTGCACATGTCCACAGGGTGAAAAGTTGTATCTAATTTTTAAAGTTGTATGTAGAAATTGTAAAAAAGGCAAGTTGTATCTCCAGAAAGTTGTATTCATTTCAAAACATGTATCAAATACTTTTTTTACAGTATGTCCCCCATATATTTGATACATGTTTAAAAGGGAAAAGAATTTTTTGAATTTCCTGTATGACAATAAACTTGAAAGCACTCACAGAGATGTATTGCAGGTTTTATGTTACCTCCTCAAAATAAAGAAAAACCATTTAGAAACATCAGGTACCTGGTACCATTTTCTTTTTAAAAACAGCAATAATAACAATGATAATGGCATGATATAGAACAGTTGTGTAATATAGTATCTAATACATGCTTTACCACTCAAAAGGAGCCACCCTTCACAGGTGCATTTTTTACTGCACCTGTTGAGCCACCAGTCACTGTCAAACCTGCAAAATTCCATGTTCTATATTGCCATTGAAAAGAATATCCACTTATGTCATTAGTACTTACCCAGTACAGCTGCTTGTGCTTCCACAGTTAACCTCCACACGCTTAGCTGAGGAACCAACAGCAATGGTGTTGGTGCCACTGAATGTCACTCCCTATTAAAATGTGAGTAATACATGGTCAGATAAATTATATCACAAACATTAATTATGACACCAGTACCAGGAGTTCCTAAGCATATGAGATATCATTAGAGATGACTAGTGTGTCTCATACCAAGTGTTGAAGGATAGCTCTGATCAATGAGTACCCCATATCCAGTGATTCCAGAGAGTTTATTATTTGAATAAACCACATTGCTAACAGTAGAGCCAGTTGCAGTAGCATCTGTTTTGATCCGCAAGCCATTGACACTAAAATGTTTAATCAGTAATAGTTGCAGTTTTGATACATATAGATATACTTATTAGTAACTGTATTGCCTGTGATTTGTATGTTGTTAACAGTTACACTGCTGGAAATAGATCCCTGGGCATCATACTTCAATATAGAAGATCCGAAAAACCAGAGGATTCATACAATGGAAATTCCATGGCCTCCACTACAAGTATTTCCTGTGAATGTGATGTTGCTGCCTTTATTAATTGCAAGACAGTCATCTAGGTGGGTGAGATAGAGGTATAGGTGAGCATATGAAATGACCTTGATTTTTAACAGTACTGCTCTGAACAATAACATTATTGGCAGAGATGTCAAAACCATCAGTATTGTGGCCTTTGAAATGGGTAGTATCAATGAATTCCAGGAAGATGGGAAGTACCAGCTGCAGAGCTTCCTGACTTGCTGTTTGGTGCATCACCAGCCGCTAAGTATTCATATTGTCAGATATCATGATCGATATCAACTTGATGATTAAAAGGAATCAGCTCACAATTATCGATATTTAACCCGCTAACAGTCAAAGATGAACCACCAATCGCAACAGCACGTGCAGGTGTGTTCACAATCTTAAGATTGGAAAATGTTCCACCCATATTGATACGCAAAAGTGGAGCTGGCTTGGTGACACCACCATTCCCACCTTGCTATGAATATTTTAGTAAACTTAGGACATAACAATTAAAAGGATTTAAAGCATACACCATCCCAGTATAATTCTCCTTGTCCAATCAGCTCATGGCCATTGCCATTGACTTTTTGAATTAGTCTCATACGCCATCATAAGAGCCGGGTGAAATGTACATACAATTGATATTGTTTCCTTTGATAACCATGAGAGGACCTGCCCAGTTCTGCCCCACAATTTTAAACAAAATAAGTAAGGCTGAGCTTGTTTCCACTCGCCGCAAAGCCGAACGTTAGGGCACCAGTCAAAGAAATGCTTGCGCCATCAGGCGGAGTGAGGGTAAAAGTCTGGCCTGCCGGCACAGTAAACCCGCCAATCTACACATATGAGTTGCAGTCCAAGAATTTTCGAAATGACATCGTCGGCGCACCACAATGGTTGTGCATTGTTGAGCGGCATCCACATCAGCTAGACTGGAGATCTGTCCAGTACAGCGCTTTCCGATCTTTCGGGGACCATTGAGGCCGTGCGTGGTGTTGCCAAGAAACTCCGTTTCCGAAGCCTGAAGAGCCACAGCAGAAGCGAGGAAAGCAGAGAGAACAGTCAAGACGAGCATTCTAGTGAGTATAACTCAGACGCCAAGTGATCAAGGGCAAGCCAAGACGTCGACAGCTTATAAGCCCTGCGACGGTCGCCCGCTGTGGGGTGCTCGGGAAATTCTCGAACCCACCTGACAAAATATTTTCCCGTTGACGCGTCTCGGGCCGCCATATCCATTTGAACATCAATCCGATCCAGAATTTGCCGGAAGATTCACATCTTGTTTCTACAAGTTACGGAGTCGGAGTTGAAAGATGGCTGGGTCCGCTGGCTGTCGTGGGGATCTGCTGGAGCTAGCGCGCTCAAGGTCTGCTGCACTGCTAACACAGTAAGTAGTGGTAACCCGGTGCTGTAGCGGCCCGCGTCTTTCGGGTAAAAAGCCTCATGACGCCCGGTCATGACTAGTGCCAGTGGCATGAGAATCCGGAGAGAAAGCAGTCAAGCGCGAGATAACCTGCTTGTGGGAGGGTGTATGGAACAATATAGTCATGATGTTAGCTGCTGGCCCATTGGTTCCGAGGCAAATCGGAAACGAGTCGGGATTGTAATCATTTGCACTTGTTATATGTCACTTATTGTCAGAGCACTACAAAGCTAGTGTAAAAACAAACACAACGATAGACCCAAAGAATATATGGGGATAGACATGCGTGATATCCGCAGCATTTGGTTTGTTTGAATTGCTGGTCGAATTGGAAGAGCCCGAGGGCCCCGATCCAGAGCCACCAGATAACGATGAGCCGGAGCGTGTCACACTATCGTTCTGTTCAGTATAGGTAAAAGCCCAATCTGACACTTACACGACACTCTCAACCTCGAGCGACCAAGGAGCATTCAGTACAGCATTAGCCCGCTTGCGTGCACTACTTAGGACACCGACACTAATGACCAAGGAGTGCATTGCCTTTTCTGAGAGCCCCGTTCTGGAATAGCCAAATGTGCAGTTGTCAGGGGGGGCGGGGTCGAAGTCGAAGCCGTAAAACGTCGATTTCCCATCGAGATTAATGACGTACTAGTAGACAGCATTATTTGTGGCCAGAGATACATAAACGGCGGACCCTGGTCAATATTCATGCATCAGCGGAAAGTCATAAGCAATGAGCACCCACCAGTAAAGTTGTGCGTCATCTTAAAGGTGCCGAAAGGAACTGATGAGTTTCCAGAGCTGCGCTGCACATCGGCAGCGGTACTCGTAGAACACGTTGAAGACGGGGTTGTCTGCCAGGCGCCGGTGTACGTGACATCTTTTGACGATGAAGAGACGTCCACGACTGTGTTTGTTGAGCCCGAGGGCGGGTCTGGCACAGACGTGGGACCGGCGGCAGCGACAAGTAGGAAAGACAGGAATAAAGCGAGCGCAATTAATCGTTGCATTGCGGTGGGTCGGAGCTTAAGAGGGGTGTAAATCGTCGTGGCCTTTATACAGGAAACTCGAGCAGCGTAATATATCACACCACAGGTGATGCCCGGAAGCAGAAAAGACGATTTGTCCAGAGATTGAGTTGATACAGACGAAAATGGGTGCAGATCCTGGAAACCTAGACATGGTAAGCATCGGAATTGAGGTGGATCCAAGGAGAGAATTACGCTAGTTAGAGCGCGACCACGTGAGTCCTCTTCGTCGACGCCGAGTTGACAACACAGCAAAGTGAATGTACATACTGGCCAATTGGCCCGACCCGGCGAACCTTTATGATACTTTGTAATAGCATCTGAAATAAATAGGATTCCTGTGCTGGTAAGACCAGCTCGCGCAAATAGTCCGGTTCCCCGTCCGATTTGGCATTCCGGTCAACAGGACTTGTCTGAAGAATCGAAAACGAACCTGTGGACCATCATTGTTTCTTCCCAGGATCCCGCTGGTCTATTCTGTATCTGGACGTTGACAATTCAGTTTGATGATTGTTCATCCTTGAACCCTCGCCCAGGTCTGCGAGGAAGGCGAATATATTGAAGCATCGCTTGCCCTGGGTCATTGAGAGCCTATTAATATTTGAGACAGTCTTCATTTAAAACGGTGGGGAGAACTTGAAGGTGGGACAACTGCAAACTCACGAGTCGCGATGCGAGTCAGCTCGATCCTCTTCGTCTTCATCGTGGAAACGAGCGTCAAAGCAGCCAAGACTGCAACACGCGCCTCGTCATTTGCAGGCTCTACTACCGCAGCGATCTTTCCGCCAGTTGGAGCCGGCACCACGGCGAACTCGCTATTCCCCGATCCCACCGTCGTAGGCTACGCTGGACCAACAATCAGTGAGTACCATTCAGGACAGACAACTTACGCATGGTAACTGACTACGCCAAAGCGGGGGACGAGGCTGCGGTATTGCAGACCGCACCAGCTGCCCCGTTTGTTGATTCCATCGTTCCGCTCGTTGAACCGCAACCGCTAGAGGCAGCGCCGACTTCCTCGTTCGACATCTTGACACATCTCGGGTCATTGTCACCGTTTCGGTCCCTCCCGCCAGCCACGTTCGGTGTCATAAACGCCTCTTCAGTGGTGCCGGACGACTGCACACTGACACAGGTCCATTTACTCCATCGCCATGGAGCGCGTTACCCAACCATCGGCGCGAACGAGGTTGCCGCAGCCGTGCATGCAGCGGCAACAAGCGAAGAAGGCTTTGAAGCAACGGGACCCCTCAAGTTCTTGAACACATGGACATACAAACTCGGAGCTGAGATCTTGACGCCATTCGGGCGGTCACAAATGTGCGCAAAGTCGACTATTTCGCGAATGCGAGGAGCTTAAATGCGATAGGTTCAACCTAGGCATGGGATTCCGTGTTAAATATGGTGCGTAAAAAGAGCAAGCCCACTTACAGAGCATGATACCTTCGTAGGCGAATTGCTAAAAGAGGCGACGGAGCTGCCTGTGTTTCGAACACTTTCTGAAGGTTTCAATAAGTTTCCGCTATCCTACTCGTCAAAGAACTTACCATGATGAACTAGAACGTATGGTTGACTCCAGCCTTCATTTCGCTGCAGGGTTTTTTGGTGTCCAATCTTACTCGACATCCTACCACCAGCTCATCGAGATAGAAGACGATTCGGGTTCCCCGGACTCGTTCATCGGCAACAGTACACTCTCGCCCTTCAATTGTCCGATCCTCGATTCAGATGTCGGCAGTTTCGGGGGGCAGCAGGCAGAGATATGGGGACTGAAGTATCTGAATGCGACCCAAAAGCGTCTGCAGAAGTTCATTAAGGGTAACTTGACATTGGACGCCAGCACAATCTTCGCAATGCAGAGCCTTTGCGCATATGAGGTATGTAGATAAAAACAAAATAAGCGACTCACCTATGATTGACACTCGGAGTAGACAGTGGCGCTGGGGTATTCTTCATTTTGTGGTCTTTTCACCGAAGAGGAGTGGAGGGGATATAACTACTTCTTCGGTTAATACGTGCCTTTGCACATCCACAGATCGACACTCACCCTATCGTAGACCTCGACTTTTGGTACTCGTATGGCCCAGGCTCACCCTACTCAGCGGCGCTCGGTATCGGGTGGGTCCAAGAGCTCGTGTCTCGCTTGACAGAGACCCGTCTCGGCCCTGCCAACTTCACCACCTCCCTCAACGCCTCAATCGTCACCAATCCGACTCTTTTCCCCTTCGCTCAACCAATCTACGTGGATGCGACCCATGACACAGTTGTTGCTGCGGGTAAAGTCGATGTATTGATGATCTCTTGAAGCGCTGACCAGCATATGAAGTCGTCACTGCCCTCAATTTCACCAGTCTTGCGGGAAATGGGCCGCTTCCGACAGACCACATCCCTAAGAATCAGGTCAGCACATTTGTTCATGTACAGAACACTTACTGAGCCATGGACAGACGTACTTTGCGCAACAAATATCCCCCTTTGGCGCAAACCTAGTGGGCCAGGTCCTCTCTTGCCCCAGCCGAAGTCCTGCTTCCTCTTCAAGTTCCGCGTCGGCTTCCACCCACATCCGTTGGTTGTTGAATGATGCAGTGGTGCCCCTAACGGGTCTTTCTGGCTGTGCATCCAACGAAGCCGATGACGGACTCTGTCCGCTGATGAATTTCGTGGCCGGGCTCGAGCAGCGCATTGCTGAGGTGGACTTCGGGTTTGCTTGTTTCGGGAACTACGGTGTTCCGACGCCGGATAACATTATCGATGGCCGTTATCCTCAGTAGAGTGAAGACTTACTGGTAGTTGTGCTGTATTTCCTGGCCTTCCCCCACAAGGTTCTTGCTGAGTATCCCTTGGCTTACGTGATCGCACGTGATTATCTCGGCCTGACCTCCGCCATCATCATGATCAACAAACATTCGGAAAGCGAAAACACACGACCTGTAGCCAAAACATCGCTCTCGATTGCACTCTTCCTGGTGGATCCTCGAACAGGGGCGCCTAGACGCGACCGCGCCGAGCTAGGCGGCGCTCGCTGCCCTGAAGCGTCAAGGCAAAGAAACCCCGTTATGAGAGAGCTGCGTTCTTATCGTTCCCTAAGGCTGGAGGATCCTCTTGACTTCCTGTTGGTCTGCTCGGCGCCTTGCATGCAAGCTTGACTCTCAAGTACTACAGCGTTTGCCAGTGGCGTCGGGGGTTGGGAAAACCCGATGTGCGCGGGACCGCAAATAGTGTTAATCAGGACTGCAAGCTCCGTCACTTGCTTTCCTAACCCACCCCTTGCTCAGCGGGTGACTCGGGCTTGTGTTTTATTCGTATTTGCTGCTGCTCATGCTCAGGAGGGCCAGGGAGGCGGACTCGGACTGCAACTGAGGTCCGAGCTGGGAAATAAGACTCGCCAAACTCATGGAAGCGCGTCCATCTCCGCTGCAGCTCTTCATGACGCTCTACTGGCCATGATATCTCAGCTGCCGTGTCACGATCTGCGCTTCTCCCCCGAGCTCCCCACCCCAACAAATTGCTGTCACATCGACCGACAATGAGTAGGACTCTATTCAGCATGTGACTCCGGCAGGCACTGGTCATGGCTGTCGTGCGGAGGTGCGTGTTCCGGTGGGTGCAGACTTGCGGACTTCGCACTGACTCGACACTGAAAAGCAAACAGGACGTCAATTAAGTAACGCGTATCATGAGAGGATGATCGGCGCCCAGGCTCCGTCGCTGAAATGCCGACGTGCTGAGCAAAGAACTCCCTCATTGTGTGTATGTCCTTGGAGGTGCAAGGCGCTTCAGGCGCGTCACTGAGTGGAGGTATTAAAGCGAGGCAAGCGTTCCTTTTCACTGTGCCTCGTCTCCTCAATACCGGTTAATTTGGATCACAATGTCGACAGCCTCGTCTTCAAGTAACAGATATCGGCGCACAATAATGCCCTGCTCCAACTGTCGCGAGCAAAAGATCAAGGTGCGCTAGCAGCCCCGCCTTGTTACTTCAATACTAATTGATGGCCGTTTTCCGTAGTGCGTGACCTCTGAACACCCGCCCGTCAACCCCTGTGCGCGCTGCAAGAAGAAGAACCTCGTCTGTGAATATCCGATTCCTGCCCGGCTCGAGCACGAATACGCGAGCATGAGCCGCCAGTCAAGTCACAGCCCCAGCAGTTCCCAGTCCAACACGCCCGCCGCCAATGCACCGACATTTCCGGTGCCACCCGGCTGGCCTGCTCACAATACCCAATTCAACCCGACTATACACTCGGCTCCGCCCCTCCCGTACACCGGCCCGCCTGCCGGCCGCCCGCGCTACTCCGGCAACGCGTATCCCGATTTGGGGTTGCACGCACCGAACATGACGACCCCCCAGTACCATGCGTATCTCCAGGCATACTCCAACAGCCAGCAGCAGCAACAACAGCCGACGTATCCTTATCAATATAACCCGTCATATGGAGGGTACGCGGCGGAGTACGACGCACAAAATGTCTATAACCTCGATGAATGGGCGGACGGGCCAACTGGGGAGGGCCATGGGCAGACTCCAGGGTCCGTTGAGTTCAATCTGCTTTCTTTCTCCGGTTTCACCTCAGTTGCTAGATCGTCGCATCGACATAATCCGCAGCATTAGAATGCATGGATTGGTGCCAATGACTACACCACCCGGGCCGTGAGGACGTGGGTGGCTGCGGACTGCGCTCAGCTTGCAGCCAGCCGTGAGTTGTGCATGCTCTCCTCGTCCGCTTACCGATTCCCCACATTGATGCTTTCGACAGATGAAATCTTGCCTGGAGGGGATACTGTAGTAAATATGGACTACTACTTGTTGTTTAGATGTAGCTTTGTTGTTGTTATTATATTTAATAGATATGTTCCTCTCCTCATGTTTCTCAGCTGGGAGTGTGAGACAAGCTACCGTCTAGAGCTGAATTTACTGTAAGGCTTGAATCCCATTGCAAACTCAGTACTCGTACACTTCAGTCAATTTTCAAGTTCTCACTCATCCATATCTGCCTCAGTCGCGCGAATCCACATCCCCGCCTGAAGCGATTAATCAGCACAACACCCACGCCGGACGATGCGCTAGAACTGACCGTATACATGGTCAAATGCATCTTCGGTCTAAACCGATCGACGCCCTTTCTTCCTTTTCCCTGAGCCTCCGTCGCCCACCGCTCCGGCGCCAGCGTCCCCGGAGAGAATGCCGCCTCCTCCAGCGTGAACGCCGAAAACGACTGCAGAAGCCGGATGAGAACGAACGACATCTCGTTGTACGCGAACTGCTGGCCGAGGCAAATACGTGGCCCCGCGTTGAATCTGACAAATATTATAACCACGGAATAGAACACGGGAGAGCAGAAGGAAACACACGGGAGGAAAGCGAACGCATTGCTGACGAGGTATTTCTTGACGCGCTCGTCGATAAAGCGGTCAGGGTCAAACTCCTCCGCTACACCAATAAGTAAAATTCGTGTAGAACCAGAGAAAAATAGACGCACCGTCCTCGCCCCATAGATCCTTGCGTCTTTGCATCAGCATTACGCTATAAGGCACCTTCGCGCCGGCGGGAACGTATATGGGCTTCTGGGCCGGGTCAGGCGAGGCGAAGGTGGTCGACTCAACGCATTCCCGGACATTGAACGGTCTGACAAGGAAATTATACATGCTGAAAGCCTAAAGCGCGAGGTGCTTGCAGCTTACACGGAAGGGTAGAGTCGCATCGCCTCTAGACATTCATCAGTGTCAGTCAGGCTGAATGAGGAACAATGAAAGCAATAGACGCGCCATTGATAACTGCCCGTAGGTATTTCATATCTTTGATATCATCGTAGGTCGGTCGGCGAGCAGCTCCGACATGCGATAGAACCTCGGAGCGGAGGCGAGTGCAGATGTTCGGGTAGGTAGCCAGGCTGAGTCGCGTTGTTATCTCATGAGCGCGGGAAGTAAAAAAATAAAACTGACAAATAAATGACGACAGTAAGGATGTGCATTGTCGTGTCGCGACCAGCTGGGGAACATGAGCTTTTGACGGAAACAGAAATAGAGAATGGACTAGCCTAGAAGAATATTTAGTCTATGGCGAAGTTAGATACATATGGACACAAAAGGAGCAACACCTACGTCTCATCCTTCAGTACCTTAGGATCTACAAGTACAGTCAGTTGTCAAGGATTGGTCGATGGGTATGCGCATACCATCGGTCGATCTCAACAACTCTTCCAGTAGCGACTGCGCCTCTTCTTCTTGCGCCGCTTTCTCTTCTTCGGCCACACGTTTACTCCTTTTCTGTTCAATCCCCGCCTGAACGATGGGCTCGATAAAGGCGTTGACGACCTCCATCGGCTTCCGCGTCTTATCCTCCCAAATTTCGAATAACGGCCATATATCTCCCAAATACTCTCGTTTTGCAACGACCTGCATGCTCTCGTTGAAGGCCTGCACGAACTTATTCGCCGTTTCGGCTTGGGCGGAGGACGACTGCGGCGGCGGGAATGCGACGTTGTGTCCGTAAGGAATGTTGGCTTGTAGACTGTTGACACAAACACCGAATAGGAACTCGGTTGCCGAGTCCATCGTGAAGCGCCCAATCAGGTCCTGAAAATCGACAGCAACGCCGGTGCGAGTGCGTGACCGGAGAATCGAGACGAGCGTGTCGGCGTGGTGGTCAAAGATATCGAAGTGTGAGATTTTGTCTTTAGAGAAGAATGGGCGCGTCATGGCACGGTGGAATTTCCACATTTCACCTGTGTGAATCAGTGTCCGGGCAACTGAGAAGTAGAACGCAGACGCACCATCAGAATTGAAGACGCCCGTCCCAAGAACGCTGTCCATCTCCGCTTGGAATCGCTTCCCTATGTGGTCGTAAGGATCAGGCTTATGGTGTGATTGTTCGGAAGAGACCTTTCTCGAAGTGGTTGAATCCGGTCGCGAGAATATGCTTAATGTGGTCTGGTGAAATCTGTGTGCCAATCAACAGGTGATAAGTTTCCATTTCAGCAGTGCAACAACGCACGGTGAACAATGCATCCACGCTGAGGACGCGGAAGTTGAAGACTGGGCCATAAACCTCGACCATCTCCCGCAATCCATCACCTGGATAGCCGTGGACACGATTATGCAGCATAGTCTGCAGCCAATCGATATTCCCGAATTTCTTACCCTCCAGCCTCGGCGCTAAACGAGCACCGAGCATTGAGGCCTCGGCACGATGACGGCGGTTCTTCGCGTGGATTTGATAAGCAATGGAAAGCGGGATGGTTAGCAGGGCGGCGATGAGGGTTGCCCATGGCGGAAGTGGGAGGCCCCTGGTACGGGCGGCGTAATGCGTTGCAAGGCCCACGATGAGGGGTTTACTGAGGACGCGTAGAGTCAGACGAATAAGGAAAGGGACCCCGGGGCCAAGCAGCATTTTGACGCGCTGAATGTGGGGAGGGTGAAAACCATAGCCGTTTCTCAGCAAGAAGATGACGGCGGTCGGCAACACGGGTGCGTCGATCCGTCCAGGTTGTCAGCAGCGATGACATGAATATCAATTACGCCCGAGCCATTGATCTAATCAATTATCAACGGTTTCTCCACATATCTGGATTTATTCGAGTTGGTAATAAATGGTACTTACTACTTAGTCGCGGCAACTCTCGGCAACCGTTTCATCAGCCAGCATTAGTCATTGCGCCATTGGCGATAAATTTCGAAGCCAAGCATTGGAAAAGGATCCTCGGTCCCTAAACCACGACCAAGCCGTGGCGGGTGCTCAAGCTTGTGTATTGCAACAGAAACCATTCAGTCACAT